AACTACTGATTCTAGAAATCTGCTTGTGAACTACACCTGATTCCAAGGGCTCACCCAAGGTAACCTAAGTATCCTTACAATGGCCATGTCCATTGTGTGCACGCCCCCATCATCTCATCTAAGGTAGAGTTGAAGAAAGAAGAGGAACACAAATTTGCTTTGAGAAAATCTTATGTAAGAACTCAGTGAAAGGCCTTCTCACAGCAGGGTCTAGTGGCTCTTGTAATCAGAGCATAGTCTTGGTATTCCTGCTGTGTGTAGCTGCCTCACTCACCCGATAACCTCTTTTGACTGGTCAGCAGTGAGGAAATGGGACTGATAACCATTAAATCAGGACTCCCCATCTACATACCTTTTGTTAATTATTTCTGTCTTCATCTCTTCAAACAACAAGAGGAAAAGTTGGGGGAAGGGAGTACTACCTGGAATCTTCCCACATTTTGTGTTTAAACATTTGTTATTTTCAGGAATAATGATTTTTTAAAAAGATCTAAATTGCGCAGCAAAAAGAAAAAGGAGATTTCAATATGTTTGTATCAAGATAATATCTTGGCCAGGCGTGATGGCTCATGTCTGTAATTTCAGCACTCTGGGAGGCTGAGATGGGTGGATCGCTTGAGTTCAGGAGTTGGAGACCAACCTGAGCAAGACCAAAACCCTGTCTCTAATAAAAACAGAAAAACAATCCAGACATCATGGCAGGCGCCTATAGTCCAAGCTACTGGGGAGACTGAGGCAGGAGAATCAAGTCCAAGAGTTTAAGGTTTCTGTGAGCTATGATATCATGGCACTCTACCAGGGTGACAGAGTGAGACTGCCTCCAAAAAAATTAAAAAGGTAATATCTTAAATAACCTAAGTACAATGTGTTAAATGCAGCTGATTGAAGAGTTAAACCAATTTACTGTCTAAGTAGTAAAGAAAAGCACATTTTAAGGAAGATAAATCAGTGTACATACTGAAGAGAGTTTGTGAAAAATAGAGATCATAAAACATTGGGAGACTCAAACAAAACTCATGCAGTATAAATTATCACACCTCTTTAAAGAGCTGCCTTGTTTCATCTTACACAAAAACACTTTCTGAAAATTCCCAACATTTTCAGTGTTGCAGCAGCCCATCTCTAAAACAGATGGTCTGTCTTTTTACTAACTAGAAACAACAAAACAAAAAGCAGACTGATTTATTTCAGATGGCCTTCCTCTTACTTTTGAGATCTTCTTCTTCCCAGGTAAGACCACAGGTAAAATCTACTTTTAGTATTTAATAGCACACAATCCAATTCTACCTTATACCATGATTCCAAATTCCACATGTCAATTTATTACAATCCTGATCTACTGGAATGCAGTTGTCTTAGGAGTCCCTTATTATGGTCCCAAAGTATGCTAGATGTATATATACATACATACATAATCTCCCTCATTTAATCATAAAAATTCTGTTGATAGGTGAGAAAAAGTTGACTCAGGGGGGCTAAGTCGATTGCTTAAGGTCACAGAGCTATCAAAGAACGAAGTAGGGACTGAAATCTAGCTCCAACTACAATGCCAAAACATTTTTCTTCTAACATCCTACTATCTTCAAAACAAACTTTATGAATCTGAGAAGTCTCTACCTATTTGGTATTAATAAAAACAAAACTATTGGTTATAATTTCATAAGAATTCCTATATTTCTAATACATTAACTATAAAATTATGCAATTGTTTGATAAACTAATTAGGCATTATTTCACTAGTATTTTATGTAATTTATCTTCAAGCTAATCTTCTTTAGAAGAATAGTATCATTCCTAGTATTTTTTATTGACATAGGAAAATGTTTATGATTATATGCTGACCAAAAAAGCAGACTTATAAGTATTGAAACTATGTAAAAAAATGCATGATTAGTCCTTGTTTTCTTTAAACTTTCCAAAGAACATACATTATTTTTTATAAACTGTCATAATCTCAAGTTTAAAAGATAAAATATATATGGAGGATGTCCAATTTTACTTACAAATTAAAAATATATGTAGTAGTCTTGACAAAATACCTAGTTTTGATGTCCTGATAGACATCTGCAGCATTTGGGTGTACTAGTGAGAAGTTTCTAGGTATTTGCTGAGATTCATCATGGTAATGGTCATGAAATGACAGTACTCAAGTTAAAATGGAGAATTATCATTGATCTTGTAGAAAGTCCCAGAGACATTTGGAGTTTCTTCTTACTTTAGAACTTACTAGATCTAAGTAACATATGTTACTTAATTAAAATGAATGCTATCATTTTATAGTCCCACTAGGAAGATCAAATAGCAATCTATTCCAAATTATAAAGCCCTCAAACATCATAATTATTTTGAAAAAAAATATTCAATTTTAAGATTTTTTTTCAGAAAAATATATGAAAATGAGGCTAGGGAAAACTTATCCTTTCAGGCATTAGTACATTTCAACTAGCAAAGCACTCTCCTTTGTATATCTTCTGAAAATGTAATCTTTGAGTACCATACTTACATCAAATATTTCTCTTCACTGTAGTAACAAACTATATTTCAAAGATTATGTTTCAAGTAAATGATACCCTCTAGTGAGGAAAAAAATGAATTTCTATTGGTATAGTTTACCTAAATTTTATTTTTGTAGTGTATGTCAACAAATATTTCTGACTCACCTACTAAGTTCCTTGGAACTTGTATGACATCTTCAGCAAACTCAAGAAAGCTTCTAGCCTTCTTCACTGCATCCTGATCCTAATAAAAAACAGAAAATATTTAAGACAAAATATCAGCCAGCTGTTAATACTAATATTTTGGGATGAATAAAACCATTTAGTAAAATATTTACCTCTCCATAAATATGAAATGTGCAGGTATCTTCATCTAGATCAATAGCAGTGACCCCAGGAACTTTTCTAGCTTGCTGAATATTAGCACCATGAGTACCAATGGCTAGACCCATCAAATCTTCTCGTACAATAAACTGTTCATGAAACCTTGAGGCAAGTTGCCTTGAACTCTGAAGAGAAACATGTGTCTGATGAATATGCTTTATCAACTATCAAACAACTATTTAGGCCAGCCATGTAAATTATCTTAACCCTGTATATAAGGGGCCGATAAATTAGTTTCAGCTGAAAACTAATCTATTTGAGAAAGTATCTCGCACAGCACAAGGGTTTTTAGGTTACTGAAGGTCTATGCCATTTTATGTATTTTTGTTAATCAGAAAGAGCTTATTAACAATTTTCCAAGGTAACTTTTGAAAACCTATTTGCAAGGCTGCCTTAGTTAACCAATAACATCAACAATGTAATAATTAAGAACCCCATCAATGTTCCCAAATAAAAACCAGCTCACTGGGTCTGACAGACTCAATGTTATTTATTTATGTAAAAGAATTTAAAATATCTTTACAGAAAACTTTATTCATTTATTAAAGAATATCAGAATTTATATTTTTTCTAAAAATCAGTGTCATTTCTGTAACCTTTCACTAAATATTATGATCTAAACTTATCTTTGTTGAAATTACATTAAATACACACCCTCATTCCCAGAACCTACGGAAAGGAATAAAATATTGTTGGTTCAGTAGTTAAACCAAATGATCACAGAATACCAGTGATTTAAAATTTGTCTTAAATATGCATCTGAAACCAAAAGTGGGGTCAGAGTCTGTAAGACCTTGTGATCTGGGATCCACAAGTATGACGAATTCTTTCAAATACTCAGTGATGGCAAAACTAAGTTACACTGACACTCCAAACTTGTGGATAATCACTGTCTTTAAACAGCATCATCAAAATTTAAGGTTTAGTTCTAGCATGCCATTAATGAAAACCAAACATATTAGTGGCTCATGTTGAAAAATGGGAATTTCTTATAGGAATATGTGAATCTCTTTAATATTAGTAGTGAAGATAGGCATGCATACTAGTTTCTCATTATTCAACACACCTGATAATTTGAATGAATCAATTTAACTAGTATAAACATTTTTTAAAAGTACAATATCCATTTTTTTAAGACTAGACTAATAAAATGAAGAAAATGTTCCTAGGAGTTTTCAAGAACTCAGGTTTTTTTGAGTCCTGATTCATTAACCTGCTTTCATTCTTTTTCACTGATAATTCATTGACAAATGATAAGCCAAAAGTATAGTAACGAAACATTTATTAAGAAGAATTCGATGTTTAAGAAGAGGCATATGAGTATATTTCCATGATACTCATAATGAAAGTACAAGGAGGCAGCTCTGCCCTAAAAGTTATGAAAGAATAGCTAAAGAAACCACAAAATTGTGAACACAGGGACATCAAGAAAGAATGAGAGCAAAAAACAAACAAAGCTCCTTGGCCGTAAGAAAAACAAAGTAGCACAAGGAGATTAAACTCTTCTCCTGCTAAGAGTTCAGCAATCACATAGCAAGTTGGTAGGGGGAAAATTTTGCAGAGTTTTATAAGAATACAGCTGTGTCTACCTTCTCTCAAAATGTAGTTTGGAACTCCTTTCGATCTTTACTATTTTAACTGCATGGTGTTTACCCTCTAATGAAATGAATGATGATAAAGAACTCAGGAATTTGACAGTAATATACTTGAGTTGGTACATTAAACTAAAATCTATTCAGTTTCTATGGTAATGGATGGAAGTACTAGATAGTTATCAATGAAAATAAATGTATGGTGATGGAAATTATTGGAGGATTAATAAAAGTAGATAAAATGCACCTTAAGAGACGAAATAGTAAGTTAGGGAAATAGCCTCTGGCAGGAATCTGAAGACAGGAGTTTTAAAGAGTGACAACCAATTAGAATGAAGAAGTTCTACACCCTTTTAAACAGAGATAAACATACATAACGAAAGGATTATGATTAGATATTTAAATACTCTCTAGTACTTTAATGGTAACATGTTACATGGAAGAAGCATTGGCTCATTTTATTAGCAGCTTTGACAAACTTCTAGTAAGAAGTGAAGTGACCACGAGTCCCTTAATATACACAAACTGTTCCTCAATTTTAGAACCTCCAGCATGAAAACTTTAGTAAGATTATGCTTTGTACAATTTAAATTTACAAACTATAGGATGTAAGGAATTGTTAAGAAATAGTAAATAAATGATAAGCTACCCTTATTCAAATTTTGGAATTGTACAGTTATCATTTCTAGATAGTCTTACAAGCAATGCTAGGGAAAGTGACATACCTCCAGCTGTTTACTGGCTTCTTCATTTCTCAATATCAGAGACAATTTAGTGCGCAGACTCCGAAAGTGCATGTCAATTAGCATATGTGCTCTCTTTGAGGTGACTTCATTGATGGACTAAAAAAAATTAAATTAGCAATAGTATTATCAAAGCAAATGCCTCAAATTAAATAAATAAAAAAATAGACAACTCAAAAACACTCACCAAAATGACAAGCTGATAATTTTCTGGATCATAAGTTACAGAAAATGCACCAACTGCCTTTTTAAAGTCCTTATGTGTTGATTCTTTGGCACACCTAGAAATAAAAGGAATATCCATTGTCAAGATAAATAATTGTCAACTACTAAGATGAATTCATGCAGACAGATTTATAAGAATCGTGGATTCATTTTAAATTTGATATATGCAAAATATACTATACCTATTTAAAAGTTTAGTTCCTTTGCTGTATATCTCTGAAATATTCAGCCAAGCCAAGCATTTGATATAGAGAAAGGAAGAAGTTATGCTCTGAATGGATTACTGGTGGGCTTACATCACCAATGCAACATATTTAGAAATCAGTCTTCCTGATTTCAGTTGTGTAGAAGTAGTGTCCTTGAGCCAATGTTAAAAAGTTTTAGGGATTGCTATAAGGTTATCTGATTTTGTTTTGCTGTTTCCTTTTAAATAGAAAAAAAACTGCCAACCAATTTGAGAGAAATACATAAAAATAAGAAGGCACAAAAATTTACACACATACACACACAATCTCGAATCAAAAAGGAAGATTTTTGGGCCAGGCGCAGTGGTTCAGGCCTGTAATCCTAGCAAGTGGGAGGCCAAGGCAGGTGGATTGCCTGAGCTCACGGGTTTGAGACCAGCCTCAGCCAAAGCGAGAACTCATCTCTAAAAATTGTGGTGGGCCCCTGTAGTCCCAGCTACTTGGGAGACTGAGGCAAGAGAATCACTTTAGCCCAAGACTTTGAGGTTGCTGTGAGCTATGACGCCGCAATGACGCCGCAGCACTCTACCGAGGGTAACAAAGTGAGACTGTCTCAAAAAAAAAAAAACAAGAAGATGATGATTTCTATGTATTTTGAACTGGAATTTAACACTTATCTGAAGCACAACATACCAAAATCAAATTTACTACCTGATGAAAAGTTTATAAAGCAATCTCTTATCGAAAAAGTTTTTAAATATTTTTTCAAATCAAAGATTACAATACAAAGATCACCCTTTGAAGCTACTTTAGCTCTACTAATTACATATTTATCTGGAGACATTTTAGATAAAAGGAAAAGTACCTGGAAAAATCATTGTAGCCTAGAATTTGACTTGTGACTTTGACAGAACTGTTACATCTGTTTTTTTTTTTAATTTATTATTATTTTTTTTATTGTTGGGGATTCACTGAAGGTACAAAGAACCAGGTTACATTGATTTCATTTGTTAGGTAGAGTCCCTCTTAAAATTATGTCCTGTTTTCTTTTAATTTAAAAATCTTAAAATTTATAAACAAAGCTAGTTTACCTGAGAAAACAAACATATATCGTATACATCAGCCATGTACCTAGTCAAGTAAGGTTAAACAAGTGCAAGGTTGGCTTAATTATGTCACTAGTAAAAGCATAGAAAGTTTTTTCCTCCACACTTTTCAAGCCAAACCATTTTGCCAAAGTTCATTAAATTTGAAATTCAATTTCTACTATTTTTAAAATGTATATTCTCTTAATCACATGTTAAATTCTCAGCATTTTGTGCACATCAACTTACATTTGCCGTAAGTCTTCTGGCACGTCCAATTTGATCTTATGGAAAGTATCTTTTGTCGCAGGTTTGTTGGGATTCACTGATCTCAGACGTTCAATTGTGACAATCTCATTATACGTAGCATCACATGCAGCATATTCTATCACGTAAAACTGAAAGAAAGAAATAAAAGTCATTCCTACTCGAAGTTTTTAAAGAGAAAGAGGCCATCCCTATTCAGTTATTTTAAAATGAATTATCTTCAGGGGGAAAAAAAAAAACTTTAGTCAACTAAAACACATGAAACATACTGAACACATAGTGAAAACATTAATAAATTGACATAAAATCAGATATTATTTCAAAATAGAAATCCAGACTGAATGTAGAACCTGGGTTTAGAAAAGGGCAGTATAAGGAAATAAATTTAAATAAGCATTTTCCTACCTCACCCTTTATCATCCTCACTTTAGCTAACCACCAACAGCAAGGCTCTTTTTCATTTGCTCTGGAATAAACCTACACAAAAAGTACAACACAGAATAGTTCATGATTAACATAATTTTGAAATCTACAGATTATTAGAAATTGAGGAAATTTTCTCAAAATACCCCTACTTGTCTTCCAAATCATATACTATATACCTTCAATCAAATTGCACCTCTATCTAGGACCCTGAACTAGGCAGAGATACATCAACAGAAACTACCTGAGATTGCTTGGGAGCTCCATTTCTGTTTCTCTGTTTTACTTTAGTAATAATTAGTACTTTTAATATAGATGCTAAAGAAAAGGTAACCATTCGTAAACATAGATATACTTTCCTTGGGTAGTGAGCTATAAAAATCTATCTAAAAATGTACAAACTTATTTTAATAAGCAAAAACTGGGAATTACTGACTCTGGTCTACTGCCTGGCTGCTTGGCCACTAAATGAGTAAAACCACTGACCACTTCACCCACTGAGTATGCCACACTGGCATTCCTATCTCCTGGGAAGTAAATGGACAGATTCTAGGTCAATCTCTGGTATCCTGCTTTCTCTCCATTATAAAGGACAATTCCATACTGGCAATTCTCTGGATACCACCTTCCTGCTCTCATATACTGTTGACCAGTTCTTCCAACCAGTATCTCTGGTGACCTCTTCAAAGTTCACTTACAATGTTCAACATGGAACCTTTTGTGAAGACACTGGCAGATCAAGGTTAAGAGGAAAAGAGCCAATACGGTGTATGTGGAGACAAACAGAATTACTCAGAAGCAGAGAGGACAAGAGAGATAGGGAGAAGCCCAGAAAGGAGAGAGAGGTACAGAGTCTAAGGTTGGTAAGCAAGTCAAGGCTCAAACTCTTGTCTCCCTTTTACAACTGAAGTTAATGGTTATACAAAAATTAAATACAACTTAACCTATCTTTCTCTCTTGCTTCCATCATTCTCTCTCAATTCTGCTCTAGCCAGAAAAATAATATCAGCTAACTGTTATGTCAGTGGTTCTCAACTTTGGGTTGTGACCCCTTTGGGGGTCGAACAACCCTTTCATAGGGGTCATCTAAGACCATCCTGCATATCATATATTTACATTACGATTCAGAACAGTAGCAAAATTACATTTATGAAGTAGCAATGAAAATAATTTTATGGTTGGGATTCACCACAACATGAGGAACTGTATTAAAGAGTCGCAGCATTAGGAAGGTTGAGAACCACTGTGTTATGTGATACAGTAAGGTCATCCTAGCAATACTATCTCATTGGGCCCCCACTTGTCATGTGACTAAGTTGAAAGAAAACAAGTCCCTTTTGTACCTCCATCAAACACTATTATGAGTACACCTGATATAGAAAGGCCAGAAGACCTCGACTTTGACTTCAGAGAGCCTGCAGTCTCCTGAGAAAGTAGACAGCCAAGTATACAGTTTCTGTTTTCTATTAGGATCTATTGCAAGATTAAGCCCAATTGTTTTTTTTTTTTTTTTTAAGCCCAATTGTTTACACATAGCAGGTACTTAGTACATTTTGGTAAATAAATAACACTTAATCCTACTTCTACTTTAAAACTGTCCAGAAAAGAACACAGGCCTCGATGATCAGACTTCTTCCCTGACTATTCTCTAAAACAGTACTCTTGCCCCTACATTACCTTCTATCCTCTTGTTCTTTTTTCTTCGTATGACTTACTCACACTTGTCATATTAGCTATCCTCACTGGAATGTGACCTCAAAGGCCAACGACTGTGTCCAATCAGTGATGTCCAGCAAAAAAGAAAATAAATACATAAATAAAGGCAGAAGACTCTGTCCTGTTTCACTGCACTTTTAGTAGCTAGTGCAGCTAATAAGAACCCAAACTATAACCATTTTGCCTTACATACACAAATGTTTACTTAGCTCCTTCCTTCATATTATAAATATTCATAAAGTTACTATTAACAAGGCATTGTGTTTAGATTTGTGGAAAAAGAAGGGAAGCAGCTCAAAATGGAGTGTGTGAAAGTGGAGGAAAAAGAGAGAGGATACTACAAAAACTAATTATACACACATAAGGTAAGCCCCTTGTGTATAAAACCAATTTCCAACGGAGAGAGAAATCACAAATACAGTGTTTTTGTTCATGTGTTAGATTTCTAATAGCACCTTTTGGTCAAAGAGTTCAATGGTAGATAAGCAGATGGTTCTCAGTATACCCTGTAAAAAAGAGGTTTTATCTATATGTATAAACTAACATTTGTAGGTTCTTTTAAAAAATATACCAGAAAGATTCACTGTTACGTAAAGAAATTTTAGGAAACTGATCTATAATAAAGCATGATCTTTTTCCTTTGTAAAATTAATTTTCCTAATCCATTTGCTTAAAATGGGGACATACTTCTAAATGAACAATATATCTTCAAATAAAGACTCCAAGATTGAGAGAAAGGGGGAAAAAAGTACCAGTGGGCAAAGGAACTTCAGGTAGTGACTTTCAAATGTATGTGTGGAACGCTGTTCAAATAGCCAAATTCAGGCATCACAAATTGTTTCAAATTATTATTAAGACAGGTTAGGAAGCAAACAGATGTCTACCTCAGCTATAACTTTCAAGGTAATTTAAATAGTATTAAACTCAAAGTACTAAAAAAAGGCACAGGCAAATTAAATACCCCAACTTCTTCAGTGCTTAATAATGTACAGGAGGGGAACTCACCTCAACTTCATCACTTTCATTTATATCTTTATTATAACCTACAGGAGGTGGAAATCTCACATCATGGAATGGAATCTGCCTCTCTGGCTGCCAGCTGCAAATAAGCAAACATACAATTATTTAGCATGCATTTCCTGTTTAACTGAAACAATGACCACTCTACCATCAACTTTTGGGTAACTGTGACCCACTTTTTCCAGTTTAAAGAAGCAAATGCTTTAAAATGGGTCAGTTTTTGCTGAGTGCGGCAACATTTCAAGGAAGTCTGCACACAGCACAGCAGCTTTTTACCTTCATTTGGAATGTTTCTCTAAACACAGGAGGGCAACATTTTTTCAAAAGTCTTTTTTAAAAATAATTTCAACTTCTAGGAATTTTAAAAGACCATAACAGAAACTTCCTTTGATATTTAAATTAACTGTTAGTACCATTATTAGTAATATCAACAATTTTCACTTGCAAAGGAATTTTAACCACATTCCAAAGACCACAGAAACTGCCCCCTAAGCAAAATGGGACAGTCAACACATTAGCAACTCACACTCACTTGTCCCCCCTTTAAGTTTTAGATCCCACGAGGTTGTCAATCCTTGTCATGGGTGCTGATCAGCACAATGTTATCAGCATGCACTGGGATGGGGGGATCTCCGAAACCATAGAAACCCAGTGGAGACAGCCTATAGAGTTCAATTAAGTTGCCTACGTTTTTAAAATTTAAAATAATATGAAACAATTTTGAAAGATACCAAATTGGTCTTATATTCATGACATGTACTATTAAAAGGCAGATTTTGCAAAAACTCTGCAAATTAAACTGTTGGAATAGTCACTTCTGGATTCTTACTGGGATGTTTCATCAGCAAATATTGAGGTATGTTCTATGTATTATGTCAATGTTTTGCTAAAGGGCTTTCATAGTTAAATTGAGAAAAGTGCTAATTTGTTTTTACTTGTTAAAGAAGAGTTTATTATATCTTTGTACTCTGGGAGACCAAGGAGGGAGGATCACTTGGGCTCAGGAGTTCAAGACCAGCCTCAGCAAGAGCAAGACCTCATCTCCACTAAAAATAGAACAAATTAGCTGGGTGTTGTGGCAGATGCCTGTAGTCCCAGATACTAGAGAGGCCAAGGCAAGAAGGGGGCTTGAATCTAGGAGTTTGAAGTTGCTGTGACCTAGGCATAGTACTCTAGCCTGGGGTAACAGAGTAAGACTATCTCAAAAAAATTCGGTAGGCATGGTGACTCACACCTGTAATCCTAACACTCTGGAAGGCCAAGGCAGGTGGATCACCTGAGCACAGGAGTTCTAGACAAGCCTGAACGACAGCCTGACCCTATCTCTACTTAAATAGAAAAAATAGCCAGGCGTTCTGGCAGGCACCTGTAGTCTCAGCTACTCAGAAAGTTGAGGTAAGGGAATCACTTGAGCTGGAGTCTGAGGTTGCTGTGAGGTATGACATCACGACACTCTACTCAGGGCACAAAGTGAGACTCTGTCTCAAAAAAAAAAAAAAGAGTTATTATATAAGAGGATAAGTAAATAAGTATTTGTGAAACTCTTATTAAGTCCTACCTTAGATCAAACCCTTCCTACCATGAATTATTATGTACAGATGAAAACTATAAAACTAAAAAGAGAAAACTATGAAACTACGAAAAAATGTCTTTACTTCAGAAAAGGTTTTTTATACTGCTTAAAAGTTTGTGACTTTTTTTTTTTTTTTGCAGTTTTTGGCCGGGGCTGGGTTTAAACCCGCCACCTCCAGCATATAGGGCCAGCACCCTACTCCTTTGAGCCACAGTCACCGTCCTAAAAGTTTGTGAGTTTTAACACATTTATAAATGCTAATTCATTTGTAAAATTTTACTTGCAAAACACAAAATTTTATACATACAAATAAATATATATACACATACATATATATAAATTTCTTGGTTTCAAAGAAGGAAGAATTATTTTAAGTCTTAAGTATATACAAGGTCTGACAATTAAGTTTGTGAACTCATCCTAGAGAAAGTCCTACATACCTAATTGCTGAATACCACTGCAGTCACCCTCCAAGCATTGACACTGGAGCCTACTACACCCTTGAAAGCAATTTTTGAACTCTCTGTTGTTATATAAAGGCCTGACAATTAAGTTTGAAAACTTGCCACTGTACTTACTTTAGCAGTGCTGTACAGACAAGTCAGTAAGTTTCATAACCTTGGTCTACCAGTGTCTCACAGCTGTGTTCACGTCACTATGTGAGAGTATCTTATCGAGTGGTGGTGTTATTGTTGTTGCACGTTTTTGTGTGCTATATGACAGCTGTGATGGTTACTTCAGAGAGCTTTAAAATTGCTTTGAAGGGTGGAGTAGGTACTAGAGTCGGTGCATAACTTCCCAAGGGGAGTACTTTGAAGGTAACCATAGTGGTATTCAGCAATCAGATGTGTAGCACTTTTTCTAGATTGAGTTTTCACACTTAACTGTCAGACTTCATAGAAGTAAAGATTTAAATTCATTTTTCAAAAATGTGAAATACAAAGACCTTTATACTTTATGGAAGTTTTAGAAAGTACCTAAAAGCAAAGCACCTAAAACCACCTACCGTCAGAATAACAGGAGTTCTTTAAGATTCAAAGAAAAGAAAAGGTAAATATACTCTGAAGTTCTATAAAATATTTTATTTTGTTTTAACAGAAAAACAAAAGCATACAAGGGCAAAACTTCTTTGGTAGAGACCTATTAAATCCTCGTGATATCCTGAAACTCAAGTTTTGTACCTTAAACATTTCATGAACAGAAGGAAAACAGATGACCTATTTAAAACTTCTAGGATGACAAAGGGATTGAAAAGAGGCTTTAATGTAGACATGGTAAAAGAGATAAATAATTAGAAGATCCAAAGATGGAATAATTTAAGCTCACAGTAAAAATCTGATTGAAAACCAGAAAAAAATTATCCTTGTCTAAGTTAGACAAATTCTTAAATGAATAGAGAAAATAAATGTTTGCTTAAATTTTGAATTACAGACTATAGGGGAAACTAAGAGTGGTAAATACAAATAACTATTTATAGGCAAGAGTATTTACCTAGTGATGGGAGTAGGTAAAGAAAATAACAAGGAAATAGTTACTCTCCCAGTTATCAAAAATTCCTTCATTACAGGTGTGATGCTATTGTCTATTACTTAACCATGGATTCTTGAAACAGCAAAGAGGCAAATTCTAAAGCTTCTGTCTTTATGTATTCAAAGAAAGTTATTCTACTATTCAAACTTCTATTCTGAACTGAGATTATTTGTCTAGAGCAGTGGTTCTCAAACTGCGGGTCCTGCATATCAGATATTTACATTACAATTCATAACAGTAGCAAAATTACAGTTATAAGCAGCAACGAAAATAATTTTATGCTTGGGGGTCACCACAACATGAGGGACTATATTAAAGGTCTGCGGCATTAGGAAGGTTGAGAACCACTGGTCTAGAGGTATGAATAGGGTTGTATACTCTCAATCCTTTTATCTCTGTCCGGTAAATCTGTATCAGCCATCTAAGTATACAACTTTGTCCTGCTGCTAGCCACAATAATCTGCTAAGAGTCTAATTATAAAATTTATTTTCTAGACACTGAAATGTAGACCTGCTTTTAAATTATTTCAGATGTTTTATTCATTGCTCAATAACATCCGGATCACGTACTGTATTTTAGCAGACTTACTGAGATACAATTCGCATAGACAGAAATCATCAATTTAAATGTGCAATTTAATAGTTTTTAGTATATTCACAAATATGTACCATCATTACCAGTCTATTTTAGAACATTTTCATCATCTCAAAAAGAAATCCTATGCTGTTTAGCTATGGCTTACCCCCACAGCACCCCACCCCAAGCACTAAGCAACCACTAATCTACTTTCTGTCTCTATAGATTTGTGGCCTGCTTTTGATATACTATTAATTCTCTCAGTACAGAAAAGCCAAAATGTTACTTATAATAGTCAACTATTCATCAGAGTTTAGTTAAATCCTAAGATTATGGCCACATCTCCACTTTTGACCAAGGAGTTTACATGTACTTTACAATCTTGCCTTGCTACCATGAAAATAACCTTCACTAGCATTCAAAAATTTAGTCAAAAGACTTGCCCCTCAAATAAAATGTTAACTTCTAGTGATGCTTTCATATAGCTAATATTCCTAGACTTATGAGTGTTTTTATTTTCTCATCCAGAAAAAAAAGTAGAAAAGATTAGCTATTGCTATTATTGATTATAAACATGTGAAACAGAAACATAAGGCAATAGATAAACATGATTGTTTCTGGTAAAATACACTGGACATTCTTGTTCCCTATGTGTTGTAAGGGAAAAAATTTAAAAAATATGAGATAACTAAAGCTATCAGTCTTAGATTTAATGTTACCAAACTCACATGGAGTTTTTTCTTTTTTACTAATACTCATTAATCCTTTTATCTCCGTCTTTTAAACATTACAGACATTAATCTCCCAAATTTCAGTTATAATACAGAAGAATCTGGTTTTTCTTCATTTTTAAGGGAGCTGAGATGTAAGGGTCAATATTACACAATAAAGGACCTTTGAGGTCATTAACAGAAAGAGCCATTCTACTGGCTTAATCTTGAGTTGTTCAGAAACTTTGTGATCAGTAACATAAAGATACAATCCTAAAAAACATTCAAACTAGACTTGAATTTTTAAAATGAAGAATAAATGGAATTAGCATAAAATATAAAAGCACCTGAACATTAAAATTCTTTATCAACCGAGAACACCACAATGAGACTATCTCAAAAAAAAAAAAAAAATCTGTATCAAGAGACTTACTTGTTTTCAAATGCAACTGTTATTGAGTCCTCATGAACATCTTTTACAAATGCCTGTAAGAAAAACACCATAATTAAATTAACTTTTAAACTTAAAGACCATTTTTGCTTTTAAGTTAAATTTTAGAGATTTGTTTGTATGCTTTTAGGAATAAAACGGAGCTTTGAATGAAGGTCAATTTTTCAGGGCCATTCATTAGTTATGTCTGTATTGCTACCTACTATGGGCTAGGCCCTAGAGATAAAGATATCTAGAATACTAAATAGAAATGATTGCTCCATAGTTCAGCATCTCAGAATAGAGACAAATGTACTGAAAGTTACAACATGGTAGTGAGTGCAAAGCTTGACATACATTTTGGGCTAAAATTATTGAAAACTAAGAAAATTGTTCCAGAGCCATATGTTTAACCAGTATAGATCTGTTGTACCCTATTTTTTTCTCCTTAATAAATATTTAGAAGAATACAACAATGAATGATTAAATATAACAACCATATGCTGGAAACACCACTAAAAAGTCCAATTACTAGAGTTTAATTAAATTCTCAATCTCACAGCCACTTGGAGAAAAAAGAACATAACATCCAGAGGCTTAATCTTTTATACCTGATAACACAATGGCTAGTAATGTGCAGATAGAACAAAAGTAATAGCTAACTAATTATCAAGAATTCTTTAACCACCATGTTGTCTATAATTCTATAAAAAAGTTTTTAAAGGGTACAGAAAAGGGGAGTTTAGGTTTGTCTGTTTTTCTTAACAATTAGAAGAGAAGGATGAAGCGTAAAAAAAATGCAAAGGGTGTTTTATCTTAATTCATTTTAAAATGGCTTGGAGAGATTTAAGGTTCTTAAATTTGTTTTGTATGTTTCTCTCCTTCAGTGGTTTCTCCCTGTCTGCAAGACCATGGCTGGCAGGACCTTCTCTGGCTGTTGAAGGCTGTCTCACCATCTGCCCCCACCCATTAAGCTTCATCTTTCACATCCTTAAGAGTCTGTGATCCAGCAGTGCTAAACTACTTGTGTCATACTCAGTAGTTTCTTTCCTATAGTCCTTCTCTTTTCACCCAACTATTTCCTATCCATCTTTTAAATATTTCAGTTTAAATGTTACCATCAATAGGAAAACCCAGAAAAGTAGGTTAAATTCTTGTTCTCTGCATCCATGATCACAGATAGCATCCTATGCTTATCCCTACTATAAACTTACCCTATTCTCTTCTTATAGCCCATTTTTTCCCTAGCAATGAGCTTTCTGAGGGTGATGTCAGGTCTTATTTTATTCAGTTATATTTCAAAGTACCCAGTATGGGCACAATGAATAGTTATTAAATGGATCATGGATTAAGAGGTTCCTCTCTCAGACTTAGGTAAAAGGTATGTATAAGGGTAACGGTAGGTTCTTAAGATAAGAGAAGACACACAGAAGGAGATAAAGTTCATACTGAATCAAACAAAAAGGAGTGGAGGATTGGAGAGGCATTTCACCAAGTCTAAGAAGCAGTGGGCACTAAGGCTTTGAGAATGAGAAACAACCTGAGTGTGACAGAAATTAATCCTTTGTCAACAAAGAAGTCAAGGCAAGTCAGCAGGGGAAAAATAGTGTTTTCAACAAATGGGCCTGGGTCAAGGGAACATTCACATGAAAAAAATATATACTTTAAATCTTGATCTCTACCTCATACCATATATGAAAATTAACTAAAATGCATCAGTGACCTAAATATAAGAGCTAGAACTTGGCTCAACGCCCACAGCACAGTGGTTACAGCACCAGCCACATACACCAAGGGTGACGGGTTCGAACCTGGCCCGGGCCAACTAAACAACTGCAACCAAAAAAATAGCTGGGCATTGTGGTGGGCACCTGTAGTTCCAGCTACTTGGGAGGCTGAGGCAAGAGAATCACTTAAGCCCAGGAGTTGGACATTGCTGTGAGCTGTGATGCCACAGCACTCTACCCAGTGTGACAGCTTGAGACTCTGTCTAAACAAAAAAAAAAAAAAAAAAAAAAAAAAAGAGCTAAGACTATAAAACTCTTAGAAGAAAACAAATCTGTTTAATTTTGGATACTGAATATTCACATTCAGCAGTTCTCAACCTGTGGATTGCAATCCCGTTGGGGGTTGAACGACCTTTTCACAAGGGTTGCCTAATATCAGATATTTACATTATGACTCATAACAGTAGCAAAAATTACACTTATGAAGTAGGAACAAAAATAATTTTATGTTTGGGGGTCACCACAACATGAGGAACTGTATTAAAGGGTCATAGTATTAGGAAGGTTGAGAACCACTGATCCATATTGGATATTTGGAAGCTACCTAGTTCAGGTTAAGACCATTCTTTCACTTCTGTGCCCTCAGCCACTGCCACAAGTTTTGGAATATAATAGGCGCCCAATAAATATTTTAAACAAATGATTCAACACAAATATCTTGGTAAACAAACATGCCTTCAAAGACCTTACATAAAAGTATTCTTTTAAAATATTAAACTTCCTAAAATATCAAATTAAAGCATATGGAGTCAAGTATTAATTAGATACTCCTAATAAAAACTATGGAAGTTGAGGCAGGGCCCTAGAAAACATTGACAAGGAAGGAAGTAACTTAAAAGAGAGATACCAAACTTTTGAAATAAAGCTTAAATGAATAAAAGTCAAGCTATGCCAAAAGATCAAAGTTCCCTTTAAATATCAAAGTGGACTATAATGGCAACCTACCTAAAGTGGCCAAATTATTATTTCTACAGCATATTTTGAGAACTATATTTTAATACTGACAGAACATACTAGACTTCATAAGGGTGCATGCCCCAAGTACTCTAATGGGCTGCTTGTCTCACACTATTACTTCTGCAGTGAAGCCAACTGTGAGTTAAAGTGAAAGAGTGAAAGGAACTGGTCACTTTTAGGTTCTTAGTTTTATAATCTAAATATTAAAAACCATGGAGAGTAGAAAGGTTTTTTTTTTTTTTTTTTTTGCAGTTTTTGGCCGGGGCCAGGTTTGAACCTACCACCTCTGGTATATGAGGCTGGCACCCTACTCCTTTGAGCCACAGGTGCCACCCGAGAGTAGAAAGGTTTTTACTCCTGGCCCCATTTCTCCCTTACCTTTGCAAGATGGCTAATAACAAATTACCAATCTGCTTTGGGGGGGGGAGTATATTATGAATTAAAATCAAAACTCTTATTAGGAGGTGACTGATTTCTTATCTACAAAAAAGGGCCATTGCTTTTGTCTTCATCATTGTCTACAATTTTATAATGTTTGGCCGGGTGCCGTGGCTCATGCCTATAATCCTAGCACTCTGGGAGGATGAGGCAGGTGGAAGACCTGAGGTTGGGAGTTTGAGACCAGACTAAGCTAGAGCAAGACCTTCTCTCTAAAAATAGCCAGGCTTTGGAGCAGGCACCTATAGTACCAGCTACTTGGGAGGCTGAGGCAAGAGAATCACTTAAGCACAAGAGTTTGAGGTTGCTGTGAGCTGTGACACCATGGCACTCTACCAAGGGTGACAAAAAATAAAATGAAATTTTACAATGTTGGCATATCTTGGCAGTTCCTTATTATATATTATATGCTAAAAATGTTAAGTTCTTTAGTCAACTAAAAGAACCTTGTTACAGCTGAGTGAAGAACTGTTCTCCATGAATCAAGCATCTTTTCAATACTATCACCCATGCTGTCCTCCATGGCAGCTACTGGTTATGTTCGGCTACCTGCATATAAATTAATAAAATTAAATACAGTCTCCCATTCACTCTTGACACATTTCAAGTGCTCAACAGCCACATATATCTTAGTAGTAGATAGCACTGATTTAAAACATTTATAAAAGCACTCCAATGTTAGCCTTATGACTACATTGCTACATTTTTATTTTATTGTATTTGCCTAAAATACATTGCCCAGTTTGATTGTATTTATTCACCACATTTGCCTATTACCTAAAATCAAATATTCCCTCAAAAGAGGAAGAACTGCAAGTGCTGTGACTATTCAAAAAGAAATTAGAAGTTTTTGCAGGCTCTGAATGCAATTCCGGATGTAGTATCAGAAATGGACTGAGTAATCATCAGAGCCCAACAGCGCCACTGCCTTCTGAGTTAATGAGGCTTATCTGTATATGGATGTTTATATGACTGTTTCAAAATCAGTCATTTTTAGCCACCATTTGCATATTAAGTGAATACAGAGGCAGAAGGCATATGTTACCTCTGGCCTGCACTCAAACCAAGAACAAATACATCCTCTTATGTGTGTTCTAGGGCCTTTTATTAAACCTTCATTCTAACAAGGCTTCCCTTTTCCTGCTTCTCATCAAAATTTCTCCAATAACCCTCCATTAACACCCCATATCCTATTTCCCTGGCTACCCCTACAGCACTATTACACCACCCATCCCTAACTTGGAAAAATATATTTTGCTGTAATCCCTATCAAAGTTGGGTGTTTGGTTGGTTAAGGAGATTCCCAGGAGGTTTCTGAAGAGGGTAAATTGAACAAATTTAAATGAATGCACAAAGGGAACTACATAGTACTGGATGATAGCTATAACTCTTATTGATGTCAATGGACTCAATGATTAAGACACAGGGGTCCTCAAACTTTTTAAACAGGGGGCCAGTTCACTGTCCCTCAGACCGTTGGAGGGCTGGACTGCAGGACAAGTCGGCTGCTAAGCAGGACAGGCAGCGGCAGCAAAAAAACCTGGCGGGCTGGATAGCATGTAGGCCATAGTTTGAGGATGCCTGAAAAGAGTTTAGCTGTGGGCTGGGAGTGGTGGCTCACACCTGTCATCTTAGCACTCTGGGAGGCCAAGGTGAGTGGACTGCCTGAGTTTAAGAGTTTGAGATCAGCCTGAACTAGAGCAAGACCCCATCTCTGTGGAAAAAAAAAAAAAGTAGCTGGATGTTGTGGTGGGCACTGTGAATCAGACCTAGGTTCAAAATGTTGGCTTTACCACATAAGAGTTATGGGAATCCCAAGAAATGATCTCTGGATCCTCAAATCCCTGTCTGCAAGTAAGAAACAGGACCAGCCT